ATATACATCAAATAATATCGAAATAAATATTTCTTTATAGGTTAAAATAGAATATTTAAACAAGTTATTACGTTATTATTGAATAATAACAATTTCTTGATAAAAAAAATGACAGCAAAGGTGTATCAACCTGATCAAGAGTTAGAAACTAAAGTGAAGAAAGGTTAGAAAATATTTCAAAACAAATGTTTGTCTTTTTTATTTGTTCAGAAAATGATTATATATATATATATATTATTTTTTTAGCAACGGAAAGAATATCTGAGAATATGCACATAGTAGCAAACGAGCCATCGTTGGCATTTTATCGGCTTCAAGAGCACGTTAGAAAAGCTTTACCACCGATGGTGGAAAAACGAGTTGAAGTATTGGCTCTTCAGCAACAACTTTTAGGTAGATGCTATGACGTGGAGTATGGTGTTAGTGCGATCAAAGGAATGCACAGTGCTGGAAAAAGTTTTGAAAATACTTTGGAATTTATTAAAAATGCTATATTTTTCAAGCAACAATTGAAATATGAAGAACAACGTAGACATAAAAAGGATGGAAATAGAGATTCTGTTTACAAAAGACTTTCAGCACATATTCCTACGTTGGATCATTTACCAGATGAGATATCTGATGTTGTTAGAGAAACTGCAAATAGAGTAGAATCTATGATGAATCATGCTAGACATTCTGGAGAATTGCAAAGAACTAATACTGTTCATAATTAAAATGAAAACAAGATTTGTTTGTTTATTCTATATTGGTTTAGAATTATAATGTTTTTTTTTTCATATAATTTTATTTTCTATAATTCTATTTACAATTTGTTTCTAGTATTTAAATTAAAAATATAATATTTAATGATCTAATTGTTAAATAAAAATGAAATAACGCGAATATCATTTGATATTGTTGTATATAGAGTTGTTTGCAAAAATGTTCATACATTGTATTTAATATATTAATAATGTTATTAATGTTATAAATTCTGTAATGAATATTTCTTTATGTTAACACGCATCATATATTTAAAATAAATTTACTTAATATAGTAAATATTCTTTTCTTTTTTTTTTTTCATGAAAATAATTATTACCACAACTCATTTTTTTTTTAAATTGCAGTTAAAAAAAAAAAGGTTTATTTTTTAAATTCTGAATAAAAATAAAAAAATAAGTAAAATTGTATGATTGAATTTAATGGCTTATCCACATGTATCGTCACGTGACTCACTCATAAAGTGTCGGAAATTGAATACAGTCGTTCGTGCTTAAAAGAATAGCCCCCTGAAGTTTTAGTTCTAACCGCAAATCTGGAGACGTCATAATATATAAAAAAAAAATATATATATTTAAAATATAATTATTTTAGAATAAGACATTAAAACATTGCTAGATTATGAAATGGATTATTTGATTGAAAAAATAATGAACCTTAACGTTATAAGAATATTATCGTTCCATAGTTGGTAACAAAAGGGCGTTGACACGCAATCAGAAAAGTGAACCTAGAGATACACGTGAAGATGCGTCTTTGACCATCTTTTATTGTACCTCAGTGGTTGCACTGTTAAAACATTCGTTAGATCATTTGACTTATTTTATATGAATTCATAACAAACATGTCAATTAATTTAAATAAAAACAAAGATACGTTGGTGGCTGCTTGGCACGATGTAGTCGATGATAAGTCGCCTATTAATTGGTAGGATTTTTGAATTTTTTATCCTTCATTAATACTTTACTTTTATCATAATTAAAGTATCATTAATTTACATACAAATTTATCTATTAATGTTAATAATATCATTCATTATTTAAATACTCTTTATTCTGTGATACTATTCTATATATATATATATATGTATTAGGTATAGTTACTGTCACTACCAGTCAGAACACAATCATAATGATTATTTATCTATCCTAAATTGTTCATGATCTTTTTATGCAATTATGTGTTTTTGCAGGGCTGTATTTGGATATGAAGGACAGACAAATAATTTGAAAGTTGTCGGTACAGGGAATGGTGGATTAGAAGAAATGATTGATCGTTTAAGTAGTAGTCACATTATGTATGCCTTTTGTCGTGTTATTGATACTAAAACAAGTCTACCTAAATGTCTACTCATTAATTGGGTGAGATACTTTATTAGAATGAAATAATTTTCATTGATATATTCACATCATATGAGTGATATGTAAATATGTTGTTTATCTTTTTTTTTTTTTTTTAGCAAGGAGAAGGTGCACCTATTGTTAGAAAAGGAACATGTGCAAATCATATTAGAGATGTAGAAAAATTATTAAAAGGTGCTCACATTACAATTACCGCTCGTTCCGAAGATGATGTTGAAGTTGATGCTATTATGGAGAAATTAGCTAGAGCTACCGCTTCTGCATATAAATTTAATGAACCACGTAGTGAAAATGATGCACATATGGGTCCAATTGGCACAACGTATAAACGGTATGTTTTTATTGTTTATTTTTCTCATTAGTTGAATATGATTGAAAATTGATTTATTTTATAGAGTAATACCGGAACAAGAAATAAATGCAACGGAGAGAGATCAATTTTGGCAAAGAGAAGAAATAGAGGAAAAGAAAAGACTGGAACATGAAAGAATTCGAAATGAACAAGAACGTCTTAGATTGGAGAAAGAAATTAGAATGAGAGAAGAGAAGGAAAGTCAACTTAGAGAACAAAAGGTTTGTTAATGAAATTTTGTTGTCTTTTAACTGTTGATTTTTGAATCTCTCGTTAACATTTACAATGTTTATTGCAATATTATCAGGTATCTGCTAAGGAGAGTTCAATAGCAAGACAAAAATTAGCAGAACAACGTGCAGAGGAAGCTAATAATTTACGTAATCGTATAGCAGCTAGTCAACAATATAGTGAAGATAATGATGATGATCATAAATCTAGAAGCGAAGAATTAAGAAGACAAAGGAGCAAAGAAGCACAGCAATTAATAGCTCAAAGAACGATTAATGCTAGAGCTGTTTTTGAACAAAATTCGGCAGCTGGTCAGATGAAATTTTCACAAGTTCAACAACATTCTTCGCAAAAGACTGGTGGTCATGTAGAAGCTGTTAAAAAGGCTATAGAAGAAAGTCAGCAAAAGGAACACGTAGATGTTAAAACTGAAGAAGCAACACCTGTTGAAGTAAAAAAGGTTAATGATATGGAAGTATTAGTGAATTCTGGTACAGAAGCGGTAACAAATACTGTCTCAGTCCATGATTCCAAAATATCTTCACACGAACAAGAGACTGAGCAACCTATTACTAATAAAGAAGAAATGACAGATAACGAATTATATAATCAGATTGATGGTTCTTATTTATATTTTGATCCCAATAATGAGGGTATGAAAGCAAGAGCTTTGTACGATTATCAAGCTGCGGATGATACAGAAATTACTTTTGATCCTGGTGATATAATCACTCACATAGATGCCATAGATGAAGGTTGGTGGCAAGGATTGGGTCCTGATGGAACATACGGATTATTTCCAGCTAATTATGTAGAAGTTATTGATTACAATGCAACATGATAAAAAAAATATATTTTGGATGATGAAAAGAAAAAAAAAAAGCCACACATCAGCAGAAATATTCGAAAGTTTTTTCTCTTCTTTATGACGTGGAGAGATATTTGACAAGAATTTTAAATATTAGCAAGTATTTAAAGATATTGGAAGTTACATTAAGATTTACAGTGATACAATTTAGGTGAAATGTTTGCAATATTAATTGACTGTTTAGTATTAAATTATGCATTTTATAGTTTTAGAAAAAAGAAAAAAAAAGAAAAAGAAACAACAAACACGAGCACATTTTTAGCGTTTGTAATATGATTATTTAAAATTAGATTTTATAGTATTAGACAAGATATATATAAACAAAAAATATTTCAATAACACATTCATTGGGAAGATTTCGAAACTATTAAATGAATCACATTGCTCATTAGTTTCCATTAAAAAAAAAAAAGCAAAAAGAAAAAAAAGTCTTCCCAAGTATTATTACATTATAAAAATAAAGAAACTGAACTTAGGTAAATATATCTTTTTATAACATTCTATATCAGAACTGATATAATAGTCGCAATGTGTTTAGTAAAGATTACTTAACTATGCCCTGTTATAATAGTATTATATTTAAACTTACACGCCATACTTTATCAATAAAGATTGAAACTTTGAAATAGCAATTTCATCATATTTGTACATATATATATGTTTATATATATATATGATAATATCCATGTCCTTGGTCCTAGTAATTTTATGCACAAAATTGCTTTTATTATTAACATACAATGTACAATATCATCTTCAGTTTTATTCTTCGGTATGTGTAAGAAATAAAATGATTAAAGATTACGAGACATAATAATAATGGCATTACATCTATTTTACAATAATGCAGGATGCTTAAATTTCGACAGGGGGGTGATAAGTAATCTTAATCTGGGAAAAAGAAATCGATAATAATAATAATTATTAACATAAATAAAATATATACAATTATCTGCGATAATTTTGATTTTGATTACCACTTGTGTTATTAGTCCCACTAGCGTGACTCAAGAATGCCAAATGTCCTTTAGGGCATTTATTTGCATAATGACCCTTTTGACCACACTTATAACAAGTAACTTCTTCCAATGGTTTTTGAGGACCTCTTTGGGGTGGACCATTGTGCATATTAATGTGATGATGCGGATTGTGTGAATTACCTTCCATCTCTTGTCTCACTTGTGCTTCTCTTACATCGGGTGGCATTTTATTACAATAAATTGCTTTGTGACCACCCTCACCGCAAAAGTGACAAGTTATCATGACTTTTTTTCCTTCTTTCGGTTGCATATCTTGCACTGCTGGTAATTCAAATCTTGGGCTAAAAATAATGATTAAGTTATTATAATCTGCTTATATGTATCTTCTATAATGTAAAATATATGTTTTACAATTATAATTATTTCTATGATTATTATTATTTTTATTATTATTATTATTATTATTATTATTTATCGACTTACTGCATAAATTTACAATTTGGACCTTCGGGACAACATCCTGCAAGATAGGCCATACAAAGAACGCGTCTCACATGTCGATGTCTGCACAGTGGACCATGTCTGCAAAATCCACGGTCGTACCATGGACAATCACGAACTTTAGTTTCTGGATCGATGTGTAGAAATGGACACTCCTTATTGTGACATGCATCTGAAGAATTATTCAATGATCAATTTTAAACTTCTATATTATGAAAATATCAAATGTTAAACATACAAAAATACTCACTAAATCTGGAGTAGAAATAACATTCTGGCATTTTGGTCATATCATATTCATGTAAAAATTCACACTGATCACCCTTTTTACATAAACCTCTTAACCAATGCTTACATACTATAGTACGATCACCCCTTACATGTCTGTAGGGACAGGAGGCACCTTTTAAACACGTGCCTCTTGGATAAAATTGACATACCGCTGCTATTGATTCTACAAATTTATTTGTTACATTTAGAAATTAACATGACAGAAAAATGAATAAACAAATGATATTATAACCTAAATCAAAAAGGTAAAACTAATTGACGATATTTTTGATTATTATAATTTATATTTTCTATTTCTAATTAATATTAATTACATTTTATGAACAATAATAACCATAAAAACATAACCTGTAACAAGAGGTTACAATAGTTAAATTACTTACTATCCATTCCTGTAAACGGTAAGGATAATGCTCCATATTGTTCATCAAGGGCAATTTCAATATCGAATTTCATATTATCTACACTTGCTACAATAAATTCCATTTTAAAACGATTATTTCTATAATTACACTAACTGTAATAATATAAATATAAATATTATGTACACATAAGATATTATGTTTTATAAAACATAGTTTGACGCATGCGCGACTTCAGCGACACGTACGAACAAAACATCAACTAAAAGTGTAACACAGGTAAACCTTCCTCCCCACTATGCATCGAGTATCGGTGTATACGCGCAAGTGCGTGACAGTCTAAAGGTGAATTCCAAACAGGACAGTGCACCGAACATATATTCCGTGTTTTTAAACATCAATAGACATTTCTTTCAACTAAATTAACAATTATTTCAATATTCTAATACACTTTTTTTACAATACAGGACAATGTAACCATCGAACTCATCACTGCGCAGGTGTGATAAAATAATTACATTAGAATGCAAAAAATACTAACTAATGTGCCGTTGCGCACATGCACATTCTAAAAAACAATGTTTTTATATTAGAATGCAATAAAACTTGTTAAAAATGACGTCCTTATTTATTGTTGGTATAAATGCTGTTTAAGACATTTTTATGTGGACGTAAAGAAGAACAGGCTTAAACATATTAAGATAATAATATTTGATAATAAATTTGAAAGACTGAGTTTATTTTTCCCACAATGCGCATATTTATACAATATTTTTATGAATTATTAACAATTGATCTTTCTGCATCTAGACGTTCATGTTCTCGTTTTATCAATTCTTTCAATTCCTCCTAAAAAAATAATTCTTATTAATTTGTATATTGTTTTGTGTATACATTTATATAAATAAGTTAAAAATTACATACACCCCAACCAAGTTTATCAGCTAGTAACTGACAACCTGTATCACATTCACCTAACCAAGCAACATCTCGTCCGGAATTGGAATTTTTCGAGTCAAACATTAAACCTTGATTTAAACCTAAAAATCTGGATAAACGATCCTGCATACCAACTTTTTCTTTATTTATAAGAAGACGAGGACAGGAAGGCCTTACTCTAAAAACAATTCAAAAGAAAGCAATAATTAATAAGATTAATTATGATATATATATTTAAAGTAAATAAAATACCTGTCAACTAGAAAGGCAAAAGGTTGTACAACCAAACTTGATCCCATGATAATTAAAAGATCAGCAAGTGAAAAATCTCTTTCAGAGAAATGATGAAAACGTTCAGGTAACATTTCACCAAAAAATACAACGTCAGGTTTTACTACACCTTTTTCACATTGTTCACATTTTGGTATTACACTTTCCAATATTTTATCTATTAATTAATATAAAGTTTATCCATTATATTATTTGTTTAATACTTATATAATAAATATAAGATATATTACCTTTCATCCATTCAAGTGTATATGGTGCTTTACATTTAATACAATGACCAGTATGAAATGTTCCATGAGCTTCTATTAATTTGTTCGTCGGTAAACCTGCAATTCTTTCTAATGTATCAATATTTTGCGTATAATGACGCAATAATAAACCTTTTTCGTGTAAAAGACGAATAAAATAATGACATGGTGTAGGTTTAAATCCTTCTGGTAACAATTGTTTTGCAAGGGTAAAAAATGGTTCTGGATTCTTCATAAAATAATCTATTTCAAAAACTGCTTGTGGATATGGTAAATTATATTTTTCTAAATTATGATAAAGTCCGCTTGAGGGTGAACGAAAATCTGGAATTCCTGCAGCTAAAAATAAACGATTTATATTATTTTTAAGAACACTCGATACGATTCAAAAAAAGAAAAATAATAATAATAATAAAAATGAACTTACACGTGGAAATACCAGCTCCAGCCATTGTAATAATTTTACAATTTGGATTCTCTTTTATGTAATCTACAATACCATCTATTGTTAATTCTTTAAGAACTGAAGTTGACTCTTGTTCACTATCCGAGTCATAAAGCTTTAATTTTTGAAGTAAATATTTGCGTATTTTTTCCATTCCTGAATCTTCTGACTCCGCTTGTGATTCGGAAATTTCTGAAGATGGACCAGGCTTTTCTTCATTCGGATTATTGTCTAATAAATACATAATTATTATGTATATGTTCAATATATAAAAATATATTGTACTCGTTTATTAAATACGTACAATAGTTCTTCGTTTAATATCTATTTGGTTTTATTAATATGTATAAAATAAAAATCACTTGAAGTAAAGGAACACTTGTTTCAAATAAAATATATCAAATAAGCAGTTAGAGTTAACAGAACAATAATATATATATATATATATTCAATTGAATTTTAATTTAATAAAAGAATGTCTACTTCTATTTGCTTATTGTATATATATATGTCATATATTATATATAGATACAGTTCTATATATTCTATAATGTATTTGTAAACAAAAATTCATTACTATTAATAAGAAAATAAATGAGAACAAAAAAAATGATACAGAAACTTTAAAAATTATTGCTTACCATTTATTTTATTAAATTATATATTATATAATATTTCCATATATATATGTATATGTATATATATTCATATATATATATACATATATAAATGATATTAATTAATTAAATTTAAAATGTAAATAATGACGTAAATGAAAAAAAAACAAGGATGTATGAAGTTATAATTTTCAATGAACGTTTAAACATTGAAACTACTTTAAAAGTTACCTTTTTCTTGTCCGTCATTATGATTTTCCATATTGATAAATTAAAAAAAAAAAAAACAAAGAATTGCCAAAAAAATATAGTTTCTGTATAGTGTCTTTCTCTATTAGAGAAACAATTGAGCAAGAAGGGAGATGAAAAACTTCACAAATATATTTTGCTTAAACATACACACCATTTAATGATTACAATTAACGTGTAATTAAAATATTCAACAAATAATAGAATATTTATGAAGACTATATATACTTCTGACGTTTTTTTGTTATTGTTTGTAAATATTATTTGGTTATTTATAGACAAAAATGGAGTTAAGTTGTTGCGCATAAAATAAAATATGAAACCGCGCAGAAAAAAATTAAAACTATGGAGAAGTAGAGGTAAGGAGTACAATCTTTGTATATGAAAAAGTGTCCGTCGAAATGCATTCAATTAGGGTGGCGCCACAGTACGTAGAGGAATTTACGTCCACTTGGATAACTTGGTAATGGTATAACTTATGTATACGATACCAGCTACCTTAACCTCTACTAGCAGACTAATGCGCATGCACCGCTCAGCGTAAGTTAGAGAGAGACAACATCAACCTCCCATGTTCTATCTCTTTTTATTTCGCTGACAGATTTTATGCTGGCTTGTCTGCTCTATGTGTAGTATCTCTATGGATGTTACTCCTTACCTCTACCCTCCAAGAAATTAAACTATGCAGTAGAAGTACTGCCAACTGATACATAATTAAGAACTAAAAAAAAAGGTTAGAACGAGAGTAGTTATATATGGTCTTACCTATTAATCTGTTTTTCAAATTTTGCTGTCTAAATATATTGATTTTGGTAATTTCAATGTTTAATAAACGAATGAAGGATAATATATTAAAATGTGAATTTTGAAAATGTCGAAATCGAATATAATAATTGCCAATCATATCTGATTGCAAGCTAACTTCACTAGTTCAGAACAGTTAAAGAGAAGTCACGAGAAAGCTATTATTGGCTGTCTGTTCACTGTCTTTTTTCATTCTTCATTTTCTGCATTGCGAATATACAAGTTAAACACATTAATAAATGTAGGGATTATTGCAGTAGAAAATTTGACATGACGTGTGTAACCGCAAAGAAATGGATTGTGAAGTCTAGTCTTTCCTAAGAGATAAGATTATATCCGCATTATTAGTTCATTGTATAGTTCTAAATTGTTCGATAAAGTTAACTTTATTAAGTACACGATCTCAAAAATGTCTGGTTTTGATGAGAATCCATTTGGAGAACCTACTATTCATGATCCTTTTTCGGTAAGTACATAGAATTCCATTCCTGTCATATCAATTGTAAGAATTAATGTATGTTCAATAGAAATACTTAGAACAAAATAATATTCGTTTGAAATATTTAATCATATTTTGATTTGTTACATTGACAATTTATTCTCTGATGTAAGTTTATTAAATTAAGTTATGTTATTATCTAATTTATTTTCTTAAACAGACATTAAATATTTACATGTGCACAAGTGTCTGTCTTACCGTACGGTGCAATATTTATCTATTTTATTTCATAATTATTATGATTATATTAATGTTAGATATTACATTTAAATTGATCAATGTTCTATGAAAAATAATTGGTGCTAATATCATATGTATATTTGTAGGATCCAGCAATAAAAAGGGCAGTTGCTTCAACACCTGTTAGTAAAGGCCTTGAAGATTACAATCCTTTCTCTGAGCAAACAGTAACGCAAGGAACTGCACAAGTCAGAGGTGCATCAAATCCTCCTATTTATGGGGGAATAGGTGCAACACAGCAACCAGCAACACTTCAACCTTCAACCTTTCAATCAACCTTTCGAGCAGAAACTCCACCACCTCCATATTCGCGTATTTCACAGCAAACAGTGAAAATACCGCCTACTGTACAGGAAACAGTGCATACTCCACAGCAAACAGGGAAAGGAGTGCTTGGAAGTACATCACCACCTTCTACAGAGGTAAATAAACGTTTGACACCATTTCCAATGGGTGTCATAATACATAAATAATTTTAAATGAATATATATATATYTATAGCAACAAAGAAGTGGTGAAGAATGGAATGCAAGGAGAGAAGAAGAGACGAGAAATAATACTTCATATTTTCGTAAGTATCTTTCAAATTCTTAGTACTTTTTTAAAAGATCATTATTTAAATTATAATTTGTGATATTTTAGTAAGGCGAAATAATTGGCCACCATTACCTAAAAGATGCTGTTTTCAACCATGCTTTTATCAAGAGATTGATGTAGAGATTCAGATTGAATTTCAAAAAATAGTGAGACAATTGTATTATTTATGGATGTGTAAGTACATTTAATATGCTTTTTTTTTTTAAATGCAAGAGGAAAACATTAAAAATATATTTATGTGTATACAAATTTTGTAATTTTTCAGTTCATGGTTTAATATTGTTTTTGAATGTGATTGGTGGATTTGCCTTGATGTTTCATAGTAAGGATGTAACAACATTTGGTCTTAGTATCTTGTATCTTATTCTGTTTACACCATTTTCATTTCTGTGCTGGTTTAGACCTGCATATAGAGCTTTTAAGTAAGTTATTTACAAAATGTCAATAAAAATATGAAAGTATATTTTTTTGTTAACAATATATTGATTAATTATATAATTTTTGTGTGTGTAGGAATGATAGCTCTTTCAACTTTATGGTATTCTTCTTTGTCTTCTTCTTTCAATTAATTGTTACAAGTATACAAGCTATCGGTATACCTGGATCAGGCACTTGGTAATAAATATTTATATATATATGTATGAAATATTATTTTACTTAGATGTGATTTTGAATGTTTATTATTTTTTTTTTCAGTGGATTAATAACAGCTATTACTGCATTTAATTCATCTGCAGCAGGCATTTTTGTTGGAATTTTATTACTTCTCATTGCTTTTTGTTTTATCATAGCAGCTGGTGGTGATCTTCTCTTACTTACCAAGGTATATTCAATTATATTTATCGTTAATTAAATTAATCGATGTATACCTTTTGTTTAAACATATTTCACACGTGTATGATTTCACAAATCATATTATGAGAATTGTTACAGATTCATAGAATTTATCGGTCATCGGATGCAAGTGTATCGAAGGCGCAACAAGAATTTGCTACAACTTTTTTGCGTAATGAACATGTCCAAAATGCTGCAAGTAATGTAGCATCTACTGCTGTTCGTGCACAAATGAGTAATGCTGCTGCTGCTGCTACTGCTCAGCCACGTTATTAAGGACATCTTAAATTAACTAAATCATCATTTGGATAGTAATTTATTATCCTGCCTTCATATCATATTTGAAAATTCATAAATCTTTTAAGTTTGTTTGCATGTTATTATTCTGTTATTATTTCATTGAATTCATATTAGTATTCATTGTATTACAGAAGTATATATATATTCTTATAAAGAAATTAATATAATATGTGAAATTATGTTTATTTCACATTAACTGTATATGTATTTTATTAAAAAAAAGTGAACTATATATATATATACACAATTTCTGCAGAAAAAAAAAAATAATGAATAATTATAAAAGACAAAAAAACAATGACAAATTTTCCTAATCAAAATACGCTTTTTTTAATATCAATATTTTTATTCGACTGCTTTTTAATCGTAAGTTAGATTATTTGTTATATGTATTATTATTAGATTTTATATATATATATATGGAAGATTCATTTATATAGTTATATATTGATGTATGTTTTTACTGATTGATTTTTTAGAAAGTTTTTTTTTTAAATCAAAATGTGTTGTTAGTGAGTCAAGTATTTATAGTTTGATTATTTTTTTTGAATTTTCGTAGATGTTATATGATTATCTTTTATGTCTGAAAGTGTACACATTTCATTTGTATCTTACTATATAGGATAATGAAATGTAGTTTTATCTCTTATTGAAGTTTTATTTAAATTTTCATATTACATAGAATTTATTAATGCTTGTATTTTTAAAGAAAAATACTTGTCATTTCTTTTGAAATTGATCAAATTTTCATAAATCTTTAGTAGGAATGACATAACGTGTGTTGTCAAAGATAAAAGTGTAAAAAATTGAAGAAACAAACTTCTTATAATTTTTGCAATTTATCGACAATTAATATATATATATATATATATATTACATAAATAAGTAATCTAATTAAGATAACAATTAATCTCTACGACAAATTTGCGTGATACAAAAAAATTAATAGTTACAATATTTTCTTATATAGAATAGTCGTTTTAAACAAAAATTGTTACTATTCGTTTTATTTATAATTATATTATACATCGATATATTAAGATTTATTGTTTATTATAAAAAAAAAAATATTATTAATTATATTAATGT